TTAGACCATTAAATACACATTGTATATATATATAAATATGTATGTATGTATATGTATATATATATATATATATATATATGTATATATATAATAAAATGCATATATATATAAATATATAGATATATATATATCAGACCATATATATCACACATTGTTAATATATATACAATAGTCCAAATATTACGCATTGTTTTCTACGCAATGCAAGTTTATATATATATATATATATATATATATCTATATTACGCATTGCGTTTCATACTGTGAAGATGAACATTGAGCTTGTGCGAAGTCGTATGTAATAATTCGTGGTCTGAGCGTACATCCACGCGATGACCAAATGTGCTATATGAATCTACACACAGATGTACACTACGGCTAATTAAATTTAGTACACGCTCAGTTAACACCTTGGATAATTTCGGCGCTTTAGACTAGGGTGACACGCATAACTCGCGAGGCTGTACAACACTTTGCAAGATTATGCTGAATTCAATACTGTCGTTGTTTTTATGGACAACTGAATAGCGACTGTTGTCTTCCATGCATCCTATTTGCAATGCCCCACGCACAAGAAAAAACATACCACATGCGCAATCGTATCTACCATCGGTTGGCGAATTACATGCACTCTCTATCTGTGGTAGTATTTGGATTTTAATGTTTATACAAACGCATACGACTGGCTTATATAGGTTAATACACGTATACAAATATACGTACAAATATATACGTATGTGCATATACGTACCTATCTTCAGGTACTCCGCACGCATCGGATATGTCGGCCCACTCGACATTGAGCGATGCAGCCAGGTAGCGCCCCACTGCGTTACGGTACGACCAAAACTTACAGGTCTCGCGTTTAAGGTTACGTATCTGTGGTGCAGGGGGTAAGAATAGTTTTACTGGGGTAGTCGGGGGAAAGGGGAGGGAGGGTAGGGGGGGGGGGGTAAAAGGGGTAAAAAAAACTGATTTTCGGATAGTCTTTTGAGGATCAAATACAGACCGAACTCTAATATGGGGTCGGTTTACAATATTGAATGGAGATTATACGACGATTGAATGTCAGGTTGTGCACGGATGCGAGCTGCATAAAAGAGTTGGAAATATGGACAATCCATAAGGATGGTGTGTACACGTCATCATTCGCTCTGCATTCTGACATGAAAACTTGGTGAAATTTTACTTGTGAACAGATAATATACGCCAGTACCCCAACACGAGGGCACATTTGAGCACAAATGCGTGAATTTAACGGACGACTAAAAAGGCAGGTAGAAAGCCATATGACTTTATTATTTTGAAAGAACAGAGATCCCATTGCATCGCATCACCAAATGGGAGCACAAGTACAGTTTTGTATATACAACGTATATATATTCGTATATGTATATGGATTGATCACACACGAAAGGGAAGCGCAAGCATAGAATTGCAAATACGACATATACGTATATGGGTCGATCCCACCTAAGGGGGGCAAATATAGGTTACTATATACAAAGTATACGTCTATCGATCACACACCCTGATGTCTTCCATGATCTCCTCTGTGGTCTGCTTCTTCTTGCGAGAATCATTTCCGCCCTTCTGCACAATGGACTTGAAATGGTCGTCAAATCTGCGATTTTAGTGGGTTTGGTTCAGTTTGCGCAAGAGATTGGGTGGATTGGGGAGTTATTGTGAAGATTTGGTCTCCATGGCATATGCATATCAGTCGGGCGAAAATAACAGGTAATCCGTTTAGATGTTAAATTGCTATATATAAATTAATTACTTAGGCACTATGTAGTCAACACCATAACGTATCAGTATTTATGTCACATAGTGTTTCTACATCACTACAACCACAATGTTGTCAGAAGGGATGAAATCTCGCATCAAGTTGAGACGCCGCAATAACGCAGCTATACATATCAGTAATATATATATATATAGGTATATATAATATAATATATATATATATATATATATATATANATATATACAGTCGTGT